GTATACATTGAGAAAATCCCTCAAAGGACTGAAGTACAAGAAACAGAAAAAAGAAAATTGAATGTTTTGCAAAGTTTATAAAGAGAATCAGAAGGACCTTGAAAAATGTACAACTTCAATTGTTTGTGTAAGTTATGAATCTGATTTACAAGTAAAACAAACAAGGTAAAATTGACTTTTTATCAACCATCAAAAGAAGTTATTGTCCCTTGACTGCTAATCCCCTCAGCATGTTCTTTCTACATACTACCCTTGGCTTATTTGGCCTAGATGGGTATGTGCTGCTGAGTTAGGGTGGTGACCATTTCACCCCTTAGAGTTTTGAACAGGGTGTCTGTTTGGGCTGTGAAGGTTGATGAAGAGCAGTCTGTAGTTACATTTTTGGTACCACCAATTTTTTCCTTAAGTTTTTCCATCTTCCTAAGTTTAAAAGCTAACTTAATTCTGTATGCTAACTGAAGTGAATCAGGGTTATAAAATCAGGTCTCTTGGCATAAAAAGGGTGGGGGAAATGAACAATGTGTCCTACTACCCATACTCTTCTTTCAGTGCAAGCTCAGGGAGGTGATCTCACATTTTAATACCCTTTTACCACTTGTTTTAACAGCAAAGTCAGTGAAGGTCTATGGTCTCTGAAAAATGTTTTTGCCTGCCTCAACACAAGTTTCTAACTGTTATTGTTGACTACAAAATTAATAATATTATCTTAAACTGCTCACCATAGAGTCTCCAGTAGCTCAAGTGGTTAGAGCATCCGACTAGATCACGGAGGGTCGTGGGTTCAAATCCCATCTGGGACTCGGATTTTTTTTCCGAGTCCTCCTCAAATTAATATCATGTTGTTGTTGTTTCATCTTCAATATCTTAATAATCATTTTACATTTTTTTCCAAGACATCCTTTGGTGTTTTGCATATCCACTAGTACAAGGTAATTTTTAAGTTGAGAGGGTTTGATTTCATTAACTACATTTTTATACAGACACAAACTAACCTGGCAGGTTGATGTCCAAAAGTGTAAAAAATTACATGCAACTGTATGGCAAAAACTGATCATCGTGGCCAAAGGAAAGGCAAAAATAGAAATGTCACCATTTTCCTGACTTTATACATTCCCTTGGAAGCATATTTAGCCAGATGTAGTCCTTGTCAAAACATGCAAACTTGACGATTTATTTTCTGAACTTAACTAATCTTTTTTAAACCATAATCTTGTTCCAAGGGGTAGTTTAGTTTTTAAAATTTATAATTGTTCCCTCTCTTTTTGCAACAAAACACACTTGAATTAGGACTCAAACTGAAGGCAGTGTAGTAACTGCTGTCATGAAAAGAGAATTCCAAACACACAAGATAATTACCCTTTTATCTGCCTAAGATTCATTTGTTAGAAACTACGGTAAAGTTTAAATTAAATCGAACGAAGAAAAGAACTTAAGCATATCAACATGTGCAAAATCAAGAGAGAATGATCTCTTGGCAAAATTTATTTGGCTTCTAGTACATAAAGAAATACATGAACTACGAGATTTGACCATGCCACTCAGTCATCCAACGCAACTCTGCCAGGATAAGTTCACAATCAAGGATGTAGAACTAAGAATCTCAATCATCTTGTCGTCTTAAAGGTGTAGTGAAGCCGTAAACAACTCTCAACTGAACTCTGACAACTCTTCTACTCAACCACATGCCAGTCACCGCACTTTTTTTACTACCACGAAGAATTAATTTTGGGCCTTTCGATTGAAAATATAAACTCTTCTACATACGTATTGGAGGGTTGGCCCTTCTTTTACTCTTGCAATTCGTGGGTCGTCTAAACAGAAACAAATCATCAAAAGGTCGGGCATCGAGAAACATGTTCACTGGTATCGTTCTTAACGTAGTAAACCGGGCCGCATTTAATGACAAACGCAAGACCAGAAGAAAGGAAAACGTAAGCTCCACATTACCGCGGAACAAAACGAAGAAACCAATGACCAACGGGACCAAGAGTAACTTCACTTCACACTGCCGAATCGCTGCGAAGAAGCTGCTCAGACGAACTTGTTTTCCCAACCCGTTCCGCGCATGCTTGCTACAGTTTTCGGATGATTGACAGATTTCTTAACTGGGGCGATCATGGAAAGCCGAAAAGCGGCAAGATCAAAGGCCGTTGCCAGCCCCCCCTGGTTTCAGTGATCTGTGCCTGGTTATCCATAAAAGCAATTTCGATAACTATGAAATAGTCAAAAACACGAGCAGCATGAGGCAGAACAACTGAACCACAAGCTGCACACAGAATGAATCCAAGCGGACGCGGGAGACTTTGATCTGACTGGAAAGTGTGACTGAAAAAGAGACCGGAAATACTCAACCTGGCGCATGCGTAGACGTTTTGCTACGGTGTTGGTCCGTGACCTTGTGCGTATGCTTGTGCGTCTGTTGACCCGCTTTTCACAAGTGAAAGCTACAGCAAAGGAGACGTAAGCATGAGCTTAAGCACAAGAAGAACGAACTTGTGCGTTTTTCTTTCGCTTTTGCTTATGTCCACCAAGTTTTCACTTGCTTACACATGTGCTTGTGCTTATTCTTTGGGGGTAATTACATGAGACCGAGATGACCTCAGACCGGTACGAAATTTTTTCAGCTCTTTACATGAGATAGGAACGAATTGCTTGGTTGGTTACAAGAAACCGGTACAAACTCAGAGATAGCAAAATTTAACTGCTACTGCTTTCTTCGTCTTTTTGTTTACTCATGTTATCATCAGTAGTGCTAATATCATTACTCAGACTCAGAAAAAACGAAGCGAAAAAGAGGAATTCAATACTATGCGAAACAAACACGGCTGGTCCATGTAGTAAACAGTTCAAGACAACGCCAAAGAAAAGAAGATGGTGGGTTGCTCCGGGAAGGAGTGACAGGTGGTGGATGAACATGTGGAGTGGCGAAGCTATTGCTGAAGAATGGATGAAAAACTTTAGAATGCCCAGAGAACAATTTGAGGCATTAGCTGATGAGCTAAGTCCACATATTTCCCCTGATCCTTCATCTCCAGGAATGGGACTCTCAGTTGAGAAAAAACTGGGAATCACTCTTTACCTTCTGAAGGACACCGGAAGTATTACTCTAACCGCCAATGCTTTCGGAGTCAGTGCTCCAACTGTATCAAAAACAATTAGAAGTGTTTGCAATGCAATAAATACTAATCTAGGACCCAGGTATTTAAGACTATCAAGAGGTAATGAGCTCTATGAAACATTCAACTTGTACAAAACTTTGCTTCCTGGTAGAGAGAAGGTGCCTCTTCTCTTGTTGGCTGATCCAGCATACCCCTTACTACCCCATTGTATGAAAGAATATTAAGTTTTTAATGCACAAGTAATGTTTAACACAATGTTACGAAGTGCTCGCAACTAGATTGAGTGTGCTTATGGGCAATTAAAAGCCAGGTGGCCAATTCTGACAACATCCCTAAATTCCAACCTTGATGATATCCCAGTAATAGTCTATACTTGCTTTGTATTGCATAATTACTGTGAGATGAACAAAGTAGGAATAGACGAGATATCAGTAGCATCTCCTCAGCAAAGCAATGCAGATGAGAGACAAGGGTCTCTTTACAGGAGGTTTAGTGTTACCACTGCTCAAGGTGTTAAGACCAGGGAGGTTATAACTGATTACTTTGAAGAGTATATGGTTACAGTTTAAATCATAAAATCAGACATTTTTATCCAAGTGGCTGAACAAGGGCTAGAGACATTTTTTTGTATGAATAAGTATTTTCTATTTCTCGTTAAATTAAGATTCTCTTTGTATAAGTAATAGTTGATTTGGTCTGACCTAATTGTTTAAAACTTCATGATAGTTTAAAACTCTTCAAGTGTGAATTATGGAAAGTGTACAAAGTGACTCTTTTCATTCAGTTCACATTGAATTAATATAGATTTTTAACAACAATATGTATTTTTGTATCTACTCTCTTTTGAACATGTCTGAGGGGTGTCTACACAGTTAGACATTGTTCATTGACATGGCTAAATAGTAACAGCGGGTAGTTATAGGGTAGTACACGAAACCACTAAAAGCTTAACATGAAGAGCAATATTATTTAGTTACCTTATTGCATTGAGTTCAGGCATGGTTCAGAAACATATGTAACTGGTTTATTCAACACAACAACACTAACAATGTTCTATTTTTGCCCCTTTAGCATTTGTGTTACTTTTCATAATACATACAGATTATTAAAATCATTACGTTATATTGTAAACAGTCCAACTTTGGTTATTCTTTCATAAAAATCACATTGAAATATTAACCTGTGATAAAAAACAATGCCAAAAAGACTGTCAAACTTCAGACAGTTTTACCAAAAGAGACCATACAGCAATTCTGGGTATGCTTTTATTTAAGAACACAATTCAAACAAAATAATGGTACCTTCTGAACCATCCAGTGATAAAGAATGTCAGTCACTCGTGTCTCTCTTTCTATCATGCAAGAACTTTAACCAAAATAAACGGTAGCAATAAGTGTTCATATCAATACTTTAGTCCTACATCATCCTAGTCACATCCACTTTGGGTACAAACTTGGGTCATGGTCTTCTACACTACTCTCCTCCCAGCTGGCACTACTACTTGCACTTGGAGAAGCAGAAGCTACAGTGCTGAAAGGATTTTGTCTCCCAGAAAACGGCTGTAGTACACTGTATTGGCTTGGATTGTTGTGATAAGCACCTCCAAAAGGATGTACATGATCCCGCTGAGGGTGTCTTGGACCATTGAACTGATAATTACTACCTTGAAGAGAATTCAGCTGCTGAAACCCTGTCAGTATAGCCTGGCTTAAAATCTGCATCGAATCTGCTATTTTACTGAGAGCCTGATCAGCAGAAGAAATGTTGGACGTGTCTTGAGCCAGAATTTTCTTTTTAAGTTCCATATCCTCCCTCATTGTTTCTAACATCATACACTCTTTTTGCTTTGTGCTTAACTTCTTTTCCAGCTTCTTTTTCTTGTCATCTACATATCTTGCTGTTGCACATTTTTGTTTTTTTCGTTCTGGTGGCCCTGCTTCTTCATCATCTTTAGTTTCTATGGACAAGTCTTCACTTTCCTTGGTGTCCACTTTGCCACTTGGCTTTCCTGACTCTGATGATGTCTCTCCCATGGTATTTATTCCACATTCTAGTGGCTCTGCACCTGGGGTTCCTCCCCAAATTGCGACCAAGGTATCCCAGTGTTCCTTGATAATTCTTCCACTCCCAGACCTTGTGGACTCTGCAACACATTTTTTGAAAGCCCGATCGTAGTTTCTTTACCTTGGCTTTAATCCTGTTGTACCCTAATTTGATTGCCCTTTCTTGTTCATCGACCTTTTTCTTGAATTCTCTGTACTCGTCTCTACTCATTTCGTCTATTTCTACCGACGGCTGCATGATTTCCTTTGGGCCAAAATCAGACTCTTCAAATTTTTCGGCCATCATTGTACGTATGTCTGCATATAGCTTTACCAGATCGCCTTCGAAGTCCAAGCCTTTCCCCGCCATGTTCGACTTTGTGTCTCTTAACAGTTCCAACAACTCTTCCACCATCTCGTCGGTAAATAACCACCTTTCTTTCCTTTTCTCCTTCCCAGCAGTTGCGTTCGTCTCCTTATCCGCCATCTTTGAAGTTTATGCGCATGTGTATTGAGTATATCGCTGACCCAAAGGACTGCAGAATTTGAAATTGCAGGCTCAGATCTGAGGCTGGTACGGACTCAGGCCGGTGCGAAAAACACTCGTGTCGGGTCAGCGACCGACAAGAACTCAGACCGATCTGCGTTTAATTTCTGACCGATCTCATGTAAACACCTAAGAAGAAATGTATGAAAACCGATACGAACTCATGCCGGTCTGGGTTCGTTCCGATCTCATGCGCTAGTGAAAACCTTTTTTACGCAATGAAAATGGCGATAGATCGTGCTATTATCTTTCTCTGTTGTTTGCTTGTAATTTCCTTTACTTCTTCAGCGAAGGGGAAAAAGAAACAAAGGGGTGAATATATTCATCCTTTTAGTGATGAAGCATACGAAACTATGCTTTCGCTGGTGCAGGGAACGTTTAATGTCCCTGTGGCGGAAAGGACAAGGGAGCAGAAAAACGCCGTCGTTCGATTTTGGCGCAACAGGAGTCGATATCATCTTGGCCCTCAGACTACACCGACCTTGTATTTTGACGGCAGGAAAATCTTGAAAATATCATCGATATCAAATGTTGTTGGAAAGACGTTCAAAGAGGCAAAGTCTGCGGGATGTAAGAAGATTCGTAATCGCGCGGCAGCGGGATTTGCTGGATTGAGCGAAAGGCGAATACTAAGTGTAACAAATAGTGAGTTGAAATATAGAATTCACAATGCCAAGTTCACGAAAAAAGCTGTACCAAGACCCGTAACTGCTAAACATGTACAGTCTCAGCATCAAGTTGATCTAATGGCCCTTATTAACGACGCTGTTAAACATAATGGGAAAGTGTGCAAGTATGTCTTGAGCGTTATGGATATTTTCAGCAGATTTGTCTGGCTACGCCCATTAGAAAAAAAGACAAGTAGCCGTGTGGCTATGCTTCTTTCATCCATATACTCCGAACATGGCCCACCGGATCGTCTGCAAAGCGATCGTGGTCCAGAGTTCTTGGGAAAGCTAAAATCGTTATGTAAAAAGTGGAAGATCAAAATGATCAAATCTCGACCGTACCACCCTCAATCCCAGGGGAAAGTCGAGAGGTCGCATAGACGGTTAAGGGAAAAAATAAAATACGACCTTATCGCTTTAGGTAAGAAGGGAGTAAACTGGGCAAAGCATTTGCCAGATTATAACCGTGTTCTCAATGAAGAAAGAAAGGAGGAACTGGGCTGGAAAACCCCCTTTCAAATATATTATGGTCGGAGATCGAATGTTTTAGTTAAAGCACCTTTAAATTCGGAACAATCAGATGACGGGCATGTTGTTAGCAGCTTTCCTACACAAAATGATTTAAATCACCATTCCAGAAGCATCAAGAGACTTCGAAAAAGGGCAAGTGTTTACAGCAAGAGGTTGAACTATCGCATGATGAAACGGCACAAAAAGCTGCACAGAGCTGTCAGTTATAAACCAAAAGAGAGAGTTTTGGTTCGTTATCGTGCGGGAAAGGGGGCCAGTAGAATTGGATCGAGAAAACGGTACGTTATCCAGGGCACTGTGATTAAAAAAAGCACCAAGAGTGACATGTATAAAATAAGATTCATTACACCGGATTCTTCAAAAAAAACGGACCAATGGTTCTCCGTAGAAAATCTGACTGCGTTGAGCACACAAAGCCAGGTTAGCAAGAGGACACGACAAAGTAAACGGGATAACCAAAGAAAACTGCAAGAGCATAGAAAGAAATTTGCTATACTATTGCAGCCATGTGATAAATTCATCGACAGGGACTTTGGCGATGTAGGCTTGTCTTTATTGTATAACCCTCCAGGCAACGGTAATTGCCAATTTGAGGCTCTATGTTTCTGGTTGAGTCACCTTGGCATTTTTCGTTCAGCAGAAACTATTCGTGAGGAAGTGGTACAGTATCTTGAGGATCATCCAAATAATGCGGAAGGCATACCCTTAGAACTTTTCGCTGCTATGCCGTGGTCGCAGTACCCGCGAGAAATGTTAACCGATGGTACTTATGGAGACCAATTGACATTACAAGCTGCAGCTGATTTGTACAATATTCAGATCGTCGTGTTCTCAACACTGGGTGCAAATGCAACTGCTGTAATTTCCCCCTCATTTAGCAATCCGATCGCAACGATACACCTCCGACACTATGCAGAACAACATGGCGAGCATTATATATGCGTTAACAGCGATCGGCTGCCTGAAAGCGTTATTGAACTTGAAAGGAGTGATGCTTGTGAAAACGAACCCTCAAGAGATATTGGGCTGGACTGTTCATGTGAAAAGAGCGCGGGAACTGAAAAGGATCCAGGAGTTAATTCGAACGTTAAACTGAATTTAAAGTTTAGTGAAGTAAGTGAAAACGAACCGAGTATCATCTTTGTAGCGGACGAGGATGTCATGACCTGTAATAGCGTCTCGCACTTAGACAGGCTACCCAACGAAATTCTTGAGAAGATTTTATTTATGGTCCTATCGTCTTCAGGCTTCATGTGGCCCAACCATATTTGTCAGGTATTTCGGCAACTTTTTAATGTTCACACTCGCTTTAGATCCATTTGCAAAAGATTTATCCTGAGGCTTCCGCGAATTCATTTTCCATCGGGAGGTGACAGCGGGATTGTAAGTGTGAGAAAGATTATTAAGCATTACGGATCTTTCAGTGGTCTTGCGATCGAAATCCGGCGTATAATATCTCATCCTAAATGGGCAAATGCTTGGTTGAAATTGCGCTACTGCGGCAATGCGTGGTTTATTATACTTTCCATCTTGTGGAAAAAAAAAAAGTAATCCTGCACAGTAATTGTCAAGGAGTTATAATAACTCCTCTAGCGGGATTAATTTAACTCCTTACGGTAGAGTTTTTTTGGGGGGTGTTATTTTAACTCCATAAAGGAGTTTAAAGAACTCTTTTTCAGGAGTAAAAATGACCCCAGATATTGAGGAGTTTAACCCCAAAAAAGGAGTTATCCTGTACATTAAATGTTCACTCCACTTTCAGAGTTAAAGTAACTCCAAAAAGAGTAAAAACAACCCATGTAAGGAGTAAAAATAACCCCATTTTCGGAGTTATTTGAACTCCAGACTGGGAGTAAAAAGAACTCTTTTTCAGGAGTAAAAATAACCCCAAATTTGGAGTTAAATTAGGTGAAGTAACCCCAAAAAAGGGGTTATCCTGTACCAAAAATTTTTACTCCGTTTTTGGAGTTCTAATAACTCCCTAAAAATTACTGTGTGAACACGCTTGGAAGAAGTTGTACGCGGACGGAGAATATTTTTACTATCCCCACGGTATTTGCTTTAGCAGGCTCCATAGAAAAAAAAACTGTTTTAAGATGGAATGAGTACTCCTTTTGTCCTTAAATGGGACCAAATCAAGAGAGAATAATGGACCAAATAGTCAGCCGGCTCCGCGTATGATCCCAAGTGAGTTTTACAAAAACAGCCAGGTATAAGGTATCGGCCAGCTACTAACTGGATTTTGTGTTTGTGTTTCTGTTGTGGTTCGAAGGTTTGCCAATCATGACGTTTTTGTTTATTTGTAGTAAACATTTTGAATTTAACCGACCTCGTCTGATTAAGTTGGCAAAAATATGGAAGCCACTATTACTTCTTTTAAGACTGCCCGTTAGACAAGGACGGTGTTGTGATCTAAAAAAGAAAACTGATGTAAGAATGGATGTTCAGATTTTTGGAAATTAAATGCCTTTTAATAATAGCCTAGTTGTCTATGTCAAGTGTGTCTAGATTCTTTACTCTGACAGGATTTGCTTAAGTTTGCTAGTTGAGCAAATCTATTGTAAATTTAGGCATTTAGGATACTAATGTTGCTACTTATTTGATCTTGGTGGGCAAATTTTGTTCAAAAGTGAAAGTTTACTTTTCTGCAAGGGTGTCGTAGATGTGGAGTAAATATCAAGTTTACACAGATTTTGTTTCACTTTTGCTCCCAATAGTGAATTTGGTGTTTAGATTCAAATTTGCCGCCATTTTGTTCTCTGTGTAAAATTCAAACGGCTAAAAATGAATGTTCCTTGCGCAGCTTGATATTTTCTGGCATAGCAAAGTTACTGTGTAAATGTATGGTTACTAGAGCCGTAAATTTAAGCAAAATATGATCAAAGAACTATCTTTACGACCACTTAAACTAACGTTTACACATTCACCAAACTTGTTATTTCACGCAAGTTTTGATTTTCCATTTTGCCCCGTTTCAATCACCATCGCAGTCTTCTCAAAGTTTATAATTGGTTATTTCGGCTAAGGCCGTCCCGCCTCCCTTTTTTTCGTTTAACGTCGAATGCGTTTCCTGATATTGGGTCGGTCGGTCGGTCGGATTGAAAAAAAAAAAAAAACTAAAAAAAAGACTACTACAAGAAGTCTCGGAATAGGAGGCCCTGGTACCCCTTTACATATTTGGATTAACAAAATGCACAATGTGAAAGTTTTGAACCCAGGAGTCATTTCAATAGTAGGTTGCAGAGTTTGATCGTCCGAGTAGCCTGCGTGGCAGGCGTTAAAAGGGGAAGGGGAAGGCGGAAATTGGGCGCGTACTGAGAACACTTTTCTCCATCGCAAGATTAGCCGCCATGTTTGTTGTTTCCCATGCTTCCACAGGCTTCCAAGTGACTTTGGCACATGCGCAATTTCAACAAATAGGAAAGTGTAAATGAGATTCCGTTGAATAGTTCAAATTCACGCGGACTTCACAATCAACACAGCGTTGCAAACAGAGTATTTTTGTTACTAAAGTATTTTCGTATAATAGAAAGCCTGCCTTTCTATTAATACCCATGTTATTTTCGAGAGAAAGTGATCAGTTGCGAAGCTCTTCACATAATGTTTCCAAGTCATCAACTCAGCTGGATTGCAGAAAGGTACGGTATGTTCTTGATATCGTGGTTCGAG